CCATCATCGACTGATATGTATACTGTTGTTTGTCATACTGCGTCCCATGTGTTGGCTATGGCAGGGATCCGTCGAAGAATCCAAGAATCTGCGCGCCTTCCATCATCAGCTCAAACTCGAATGACCAGGTATAAAAATCATTGTCGTCGAAAGGCGTCGATGTCTGTAGTTTCCAGACGTGCGCGAACTGCGATTGAACCTGAAGCGCATCCAGTGTCTTCTCCTGTGTAGGTCAAGGCTGTTGGTGAGGCATGGAGCTGATTGAGCCACGTTGAGGCTCATTCGGAGCAAAGGTGGGTTGCTGCTGGTTTCCGTGCACATAAGATGAACCATCAAGACTCATGGGTGTAACATCGTTGTTGTTGTTGCTGATGTTTGACTGCGCAGGTGCCGCTTGCTGGTGTTGCTCGTAGAAGGACACGAAGGAGAAGAATTTATCCATCATGCTTGGGTCGAAGCCCGTTGCTTGGTTCGCGGGAGTCTCAGTAGACTCAGCAGCTAGTCTTGTCGATGTGCCTCCCTCTGTCTGTAGGCCAGAGGCTGGAGGTGGAGTAGGAGTAGTGCCGGGAGAGCCGTTAGAGAAGCTTCTCTCCTTCTGTGTTGCCATATCATCTGATGTTGTAGGAGTTGAAACGGAATGGAGTTTTGCCTTGTTAGCTCTCATACCATGTCGGGCTGAGAAAAGCCCTTAGGATCTTTTTAAGGCTAAACTCTGAGTAGAAGTGTTGTATTTGCGGAAGCGTTCAGTAACAAGTGTTGAACCACCTTGCGCTAGTGTGTGAGGGCAAGATAGATTGATGATAGAAAAGTAATACAAGCTTTTATAAGATTACAAGGAATATGAAAGGGTGCAACTAATAACTGTTTTACTGTTGCTGTTGCGGTTCGATACAGTGACGACTTGGGCAACTGCTCAGTATCGAGTCAGTTGTTTGTCCTTGCTGTTGCGCTGTATTTGTCAAGTCAAAGGTCGCTGACCTTTGACCTTCGCGTAACCTCCAGCAGTTACTTCTCTTGTCAACCTCCGATGGTTGACTCGCCGTTGTTCCTCTATAGCTCGTTTGTGGTTCGGTGTTACGACACATAAGAAGCGTTTAATTTAATTGTTTCCAACAACGGGTGAGTGCGCCCATAACCCCCCAGGCCAACGTGCCTGTAACCCTTCCCTAGAATCAATCGGCGATCATTAGTGACCTCTGACATATAGGACACTCTGACAGGACTCACTTGCGCATTGGGAACGCTTATGAAAGAAGACCAGTCTGTGAGGACCTTCCTTTACCCCAAAGTGAATATAAGACCCTCCTTTGCATAGAATGACACATTAATATGTCATTTTTGCATTGAATTTAGCTAGAAACCTACAAGAACACTAATAATCATAGTAATTACTCTCAACACTCCGAAATTTCAGACAGTTGAATTGTCCAAAACTGTTTTTCTTTTAGATAAAGTCATTACCAAACACAGATCCCATTAGAGTATCAATTTATTCATCCTTGTATTTTTCCCCATAGGCTCAGACTTACATGTTTTTTTAGCCTGATTAAACAGAATATCGATTCTGTGGGCCATGATTGCAAGTTTATTGAGACGAAGCTTCGAGGATTTTTTTTACCGATGTACTCATCTCTGACATGTCAGCGTGTGCCAGCACGTGAGAAAAGTACACTGCACCAGCTGGGGACACCGAATACAATTGATCTGCGACAAAATCACGCAGGTTTAATTGTTGCGTGATTAGGGTAACCGTCAAGTGCGAAATTGAATGAAACCAAGTAACGTTTTTTTTAGGATCGCTAAACCAATCAGCGAATTTCACAGACAATCGGGTGAGAGTGGATACCTCGCGACAGGTAAACATTACACTTTTTGGTCCTGAAATGGGGTTTTCTCCGCGCCCAAACGTGTGAGCAACTAAATCGTTACTATTTTGTAGGTTGAAGATTTCTGTTGCCGAACAAAGTTACGGAGAGACTGCCAGGCGCTCCAAGCAACAGTTCGTGTCCACTACGAGCTCAGGTGTGCGGTAGTTCAACCGGTTGACACTTGTAAGGTCGCGCCAGGTCGCGCCACATGCATTTGCCTCTTGCATTTCGTAACATTCCTTCTCGTCAACAACCAAACTAAATAAACAATAACGCGATACTGAAAGCCCAGAGTCGTGCCTTTCCGGCCCTAATTCTGTATAATAGCCCCAGACTAGCCGTTTTGTGGAAAAAAAAAAAGTAAAAAAAAAAAACTGCGGGTCAAAACCAGGGAGGATTTTTTCGAAACGTCGGCCTTGAACTATAGCAGCTTGTCTGAATCATACTACCACAGAAGTCACCTGTGCATGCTCCATACTAGAACCATTCTCTCAATTTGCATACAATAACTGCATGGTTTGTCTAAGCTATTGTTCCTACTCATCATCCAAATCTTTGTAGGTAGTGGGGCCATCACAAAACCCTATGCCAAGTTTAGATGAATTTTGGATTCGATTGACTTCGCGTAAAAAGATTCCGGAGCCAATTTGAACCGACGGTTGGAGTCATTTTATAGGAGCTCCGAGACACATCTCGCGACAAGGTTTGGCTCGGGTCAACTTCCAATTTGGCACCCGAGCTTTTCCGGATGACATTCGAGCAAAATACATGTTGGTGCAAATTGGGATCCAAGTTATTCAAAATTGAAATCTGGTTTTGTAGGTTTTGGATATTGAGCTTTTCCTAAGTTACATTTATGTTTTGTGTTTACAATAGCCATTATTCAACATTCTAGCAACAAGCAGGTTTAGCACCAGGTCAAATAGCTTAAGTAATGCCGGGCCCTGCAAGCGCCCGGTGGGCAAGAAAGACCTCTCCAAGGTCGCCATCGTCGATGAGGAACTTGTTCAAGAAGACGAACGCACCCTGAACCGGATCGTGTTGGATCCTCCTCTCCACGACAGCAAAGTGGATCGTCTGTTTGACCTTTTTGCACCACTCTAAGTAGTCTAGCCTGTTTTGATCCGGCTACCTACTAATTTGCTTGCGACGCTTATCCTGCAGAAGGGGCCACTCGATCTGCAGTGTGGTGTAGGGTTGGGTGGATGGTTTATGAGGAGGGGGGGTTATGGGTTACGGTTCAGTTGTCACTATGTACGTAACCATAAAGGCTTAATCGACCAGGGATGGGCTGAATTACAGGCAAGGGGTTAAAGGGATGACTTAAGTGTGCCACATCGCACGATGATATGTAACTGCTAACTGGTATTTGGTGGGGCATATGGTGTTTTCGAGTAGCACATACCATCTTTGTACTCGGAGAGAAGTTGCTCGTCGTCAAACCACTTCGTTGGGAGTAGCTCACTGGGCAGGCTATCCACGAGATAGAGGAAATCGACATGGCCCATGCCGATGTATGCTGCTGGCCTGAGGGTGGAGTTGATTGTTGACCTTGTCGACGACATCTTGTGGTTGAAGACCGCCATGGTTGACTTGTCATTGTGCAACCACAGAAGCTTCATTGACTCAAGCCCTTCTGCACACAAGTGGATAGAGAACGCTTCAAAAACTTCCTCCGGTGGAGGGTAGTACTGTATTTTTTCCAGCGGGTTCAAAAACAATTGCTGAGATGTTACTAAGTTGGCTTTGTTCTGCGCAGGGAACACACAAGGAAGAGAGAAATCAGCTGTTATGATTGTGGCCGCGTGAGCTGAGGATGGTGGTTAGCAACATTACGTGAACTTGCCACGTCACATCCCCCCACATCAGCCACGTCATCCACAAACCCGCCCACTTGCCACATCACACCCCACTACCACAAGCCACGTCACCCTCCACCCACCTGACACGCTTCGTCCCGTCATGCGCCTGTGCCCGTGTAACCTCCAAACTGCCACGTCTTCCCCAACCCTCACCTTTCGCTCCGCACTTTCACCTAGGGAACCGATGGGATTGGGGCCAGGGTGCGAAGAATCCTCCCTCTGGCCAAGGGGATCAATGTCTTCTTCCGCAGTTCCGTGTGCCCTCACACTATCACGCTGGCAGGAAAAGGGCAGCTCAGAGAAGGGATTGGCAGAAGTGCTTGGCTAATGCCCGTGCAAAGGACTGGCCAGGGGGGAGACCGCCCCGCCTCGGACAGAAGATGCGTGGAGCTGCCGATATGGGTATGAGGGTGAGGGCAGTGGGGAGTGTGTTACGTGGCCTTGTGGAGAGGATTCGGCATCCCCTCCTCCTGGTGTGCCGTGTGCTGTAGCAGAGATTTTAGACGGGCCACTGTAAGGAGTGAAGAACCGCGGGGCTCCTGTGGATAGCGGGGTAACACTCGCTCTTTCGGGCCCCCTTTGTTAGCTGCATCCGTTGCACACATACTGGTGGCCCAATGCCTGTAACCCGAGGGGCTGAGAGTTATAGGGAGCATGAGCACAGAGTTGGAGTCGATTAGCAGGGTACTGTTCTGGAAATAGTGGCCTTACCCTGCTTTGCAGATTTGTCGACCTTGTCTTTCCCTATAGGGGGAAAACAAGGGACATGTGGTGCTAATATGGACGGTTTAGCACAGACTACGACAGCCACGCCATGTGTATGGGCCAAAGCGCTTACCTCGCTGCTGGCCCTTCGATTTGTCTACCTGCGCCTGCTTGTTGCCACCTTTCTGCGAGGTGCTTTGGCGGCCGCTACGACGTTTACCGGCAGCTTCCTTCTTGGCCGAACCCACAGGAGCCCCTTTGACGTGGCAACCCTTTCCTTCTCCATCCCCTTTGCGCATTGGCTCCCGTGCTTCTTACCACCCCCTTCAGTTTCGACCTTCACTTTATGCGCTTTCGATTTGCCTGCTCCTTTGCATTTTCAGGAATGATGAGTCCGGCCCTCCACCTTCCGTGTACCACTCCCCCGTCTACCTCGCGCTCCCCGAACCTTCACTGCCGCCACATCCTCCTCCTCTTCCTCTTCCAAAACTACCTCCTCCTCCTCCTCCTCCTCCTCCTCCTCCTCCTCCTCCTCCTCCTCCTCCTCCTCCTCCACCTCCTCCTCCTAATCCTCCTCCTCCTCCACCACCTCCTCCTCCTCCTCCTCCTCCTCCTCCTCCTCCTCCTCCTCCTCCTCCTCGCCATCCTCCTCCTCCTCCTCCTCCTCCTCCTCCTCCTCCTCCTCCTCCTCCTCCTTTTTGTCCTACTCATAATCATCCTCATTTGTTTTCCTCCTCCCCCACCTCCGCGTCCTCCTCCTCCGCTTCCTCCTCATCCTCCTCTTTCTCGTCATCCTCCTCCTCATCCTCCTCCTCCTCCTCCTCCTCGTCCCCCTCGTCCCCCTCATCCTCCTCCTTTGCATACTCAGGGTCTTCTTCGCGGCTGTTCGGCCTCTTCCCCCTTGCTGCTTGCTTGCCCCTTCTTCCGCCGGATTTTTTCCGCGCTCCAAGTTGGCCCTTGTGGCGCAATGCATGACCCGTCGACTTGTCACTTGCTTCCGTGCCACCGACGTCGTCAGCTCTGCTCGACGTCTGCCGCCTCTTCGCCCGCGTAGTGACGTCCCCTGCCAGGGCGGTGTCATCCTCTTCCTCCCCCTCGTTCTTCCTCAGCCTACGCCTCCCATGTCCACCTGAAGGAGGAGAGACACTAACGTCGCCCACTTTAGCGGCATCATCAAGGCTGCGACGACTGATGTGGGCGATGCCGTAATGCTCCACCATAGAATTGTGCTCCCCATCGTGGTCCTTCTCGACCACGGCAACAGAAACTTCGACCACGGTCGGCAGAAGCAGCGTTAGATGGTGCTGCGCTGCTTCCGCCTCGGACTCCTGGATGGCGGCATGCTCGTCGCGGGGAGCATCGCCGTGGTTTCCTCCTGTCGCCGAGCCCTCTCTCCCCACCGAAGAATCTACAAGAGCCACGCTCCCTCGCCCAGGATCTTCCTCGGCGACGTTGGTGTCGTCGTCAGTCGGCCTGGGCTCGCTTCCACCAGAGGCATCATTCCAGGTTTTTCATGAACCCGCTTGCGTGGCGGTGGTCGTTTCCCCTTTTCTTCCGCCTTCTTCCCATACTTCTCCTGTCCAAGCGCGACCTTTTTCCCACTCCATTTTTCTGTTGACTGCCACGCGCGGCGGACGCTTTAGTACTTTTAGATCCGCCATCACCCTTCCGATCGGTCTAAAAAGACGGCCTCCTTGTCGCGCGCCGTCCGGCCTGTTAAGCCTCCATTTCCTTTTGCCAAATGGCACGTGTTATGGCTGTTGTACGAATGCTTTTTCTTAAGGGAGGAAAGGTTGAGTAGGTTTACTAAGCATACCATAAAGGAATGTAATTAAGGCAGACTCGACGGTCTAATCAATTATGTCACATCGAAAAGCACTTCTTCAACTTTAACTGGAATAATAGTCACTAAGCACAAAGCTAAGGCCCACTATTTAGTCGATTGGTGATTCACTGGCGATCTGGAAATGCCTGTGACAATCATCGAGCATCGTCAAAGTTGTGGGCTAGAGGGTGATGGAAGCTGGTGGGTGGGGCACAAGAGTGGTTGGGGTGGCTTGCGAGACGAGAGAAATTACTGTAATCAGATCAGGCTAGATCAGACGGTGTACCTTTTGCCAGCCGATCCTCAACCCACTCACCGCTCGATCACAACAACTTCAATGGTGGATTTACCGCTTGGCTAGTGATTTTGTAGCAAAAGTAGTCGTTTGAGATGCGTCAGCCAATCAGTGTTGCCAACGTATCATTCACTGCACACGCTGGAACGGCTTCTGGACCATTACTGTCAGAATGAACAAGAGTGATTGAACTAGGAAAGAGTTGGGTACAACTAGGAAACCCTATACTTACTGTACCCCATAGTAGCTACCCCACTACAGCCTAAACAAACTGTAGCAGATATAACATTTGACACACCCCCAAAGGCAAAGTGGGGGAGAGCAAGGGGTCACAAGACCAGTCAAGAGAGGCAAAGCAAGCTCAGGGTGGATCACAACGTCACCACACACTCTGAGCACAAGCAAAGGGCCACAAGGCCAGTTCACATGCAGAGGCATATATGCAACACAAACAGCACAGTGATCTCTACCTAGCAACGCAAGCATGCACGTATATATATATAGATCACAGTACAAGCAAAGCCTACAGCAAGTGAGGAAAAGTGGGCACAAGCCCTAGCATAGTGCAGAAACGCTGATGATCACCAGACTGAAGTGCCTTGGTGAATATATCAGCAGTGTTGACCCGAGTGGCCACGTAACGCAGACGAAGCTGACCACGCTGCTGCAACTCTCGAGCCAGGAAGTAACGCAGAGCGATGTGCTTCGTTCTGTGCTCCAGTCTGTACTCCTCACACAAGGCAATGGTAGCCTTGTTGTCGACGTACAGCACTGGAGGAGAACGAGGCCGCTCTCCCAAGTCGGTCAGCAGGTAGGTGAGCCAGCGTAACTCCTGTGCAGCCATGGCTGTGGCGTAGATCTCATCCTCACAACTGGAGCTGAGAACTGAAGACGAGCGTGTAGAACGCCAAGAAACTAAACCAGAGCCAAGGCTGAAGGTGTAACCCTGTGACGACCGCTGAGTAGCCTGGTCGTCAACCCAAGAAGCGTCTGAGTGCCCAGTGAGAACAACTGAGCTCCTCCCTCCAAGCACGAGCCCCATGCCTGATGTACTGCACAAGTAGCGCAGTACCCTCATAGCAGCATCCATGTGCACCTTTCGGTGCCGACCAGGAGCCACGTAGCAAGCCAGAAGGCCAAGAGGGTACGCGAGGTCAGGGCGAGTGCAAGTCATCAGGTACATGAGGCCGCCAACAAGCTCTGGGTAAGGACCACTCGGCTCTACGGACTCGTCCGAAGGTGGAGCTGAGAGCGAGTGACCTGTAGCCAGAGGAGTGGCCTGTGCCGAGGACCAGGTGAAGCCGAAGCGCTGAAGGACCTGCTGCACCATGTGTGACTGAGTCAGTGTGATGGTGCGGCGTGCTCTGTCCCGGGTGATCTGCAAGCCAAGGTAGCTGCGCAGTTCACGCAGGTCTGTGCACGTGTGTCTCTTCTGCAGCTCCGACTTCACCAGGGCGAGAGCCTCAGTGTCAGCAGTGGCAAAGACCAAGTCGTCGACGTACACGAGGATGTAGAACGGCGGCAGCGAAGTGTCGGTGCGCAGAAACAGAGACGGGTCAGCAGTAGAAGGCGCGAACCCAAGAGCCGCAAGTGTAGTCCTCAGTGTGTCATGCCACTCACGTGGCGCCTGGCGGAGACCGTAGACCGGCCGCCGGAGGCTCCACTGGGTACCAGGAGGGAACGACCCAGTGAAGCCAGGAGGGCGGCGCAGCCAGATCTCCTCGTGTAGGCTGCCCTGCAAGAAAGCTGTGCTGAAGTCAAGAGAGTGAAGCTCGTAGTCACGCTGAGCGGCAACGTGCAGTAGCACCCGAAGAGTGGTCATCTTCGGGGTGGGGGAGAAGGTCTGGAAGAAGTCTACTCCCTCTCGCTGACTGAAGCCTCGAGCAATGTAACGAGCCTTGAAGACAGGCGGAGAACCTGGCGGCCGCTTCACCCTGAAAATCCACATGCCACTGACGATGTTCGCCCCAGGAGGGGGAACCTCGTCGACGTAAGTGCCAGTGGACTTCCAGGATGCCATCTCTGCGTCCATGGCTGTCTGCCACTGAGAGGAGTACTCACCCACGATCGCCTCAGCGTAAGAGCGCGGGGTCGGGATGTCTGGTGCATCCGGGTCTCCCTCAGGTGCAATCAGCATGGACACGAGATGAGGTACAGCAGTGGCAAAGCACTCAAACTCCTCCTGCCTGTCCTCAAGGACGTCCGTGCCAGGAGGACGAGCGTCAGCTCCTCCAGCTCCAGCCCCGGCAGCACCACCAGCCCCAGTACCAATAGCACCTCCTGCAGCTCCAGTAGCACCTCCAGTCCCAGCAGCTCCAGTACCGCCAGTACGAGCACCTCCAGGACCAGTGGCTCCAGCACCTCCAGCGCCAACCCCAGGGTTAGCAGCTACACCAACTCCAGTAGGCCCAGCGCCCTCAGCTCCAGCTCCAGTAGCACCTCCAGCGCCCACAGCACCACGGCGGCGGCGACAGTACTGAGAGTACCACTCACGTAGTTGCTGGGAAGAGAGAGCGCCCCTAGGCGCAGCACCCCCAGGCTCAAGACCTCCAGGCTCAGCACCCCCAGGCACAGCACCCCCAGGCTCCGCACCCCCAGGCTCAGTACCTGCAGTCTCCGCACCCCCAGGCCCAGCACCTTCAGTCTCCGCACCCCCAGGCTCAGCACCCCCAGTCTCCGCACCCCCAGGCTCAGCACCCCCAGTCTCCAAACCCCCAGACCCAGCACCACCAGGCTCAGCACGCTCAGGCTCAGCACGCTCAGGCTCAGCATGCTCAGCACCTCGCGCAGGACCTGAGTCGACAGCTACCACGACAGGCTCGACCGGGTCTACCTGGGAAACACCTGAGGGAGCAGGACCCTGGGGAGGCGGGGGGTCTATTGAAGCAGCACCTGGCGTGAGGAAGAGCGGCGGAGGGGGGAGCGGGGCACTGCGGTAGGGGAAGAGACGGTAAAATGGGACCGACTCGTCAAACGTGACGTCCTGAGAGGGGAAGACACGGCGCGAGGTGGGGTGGTAAAACTGCCAGCCAGGCGCGTCAGGGACACAGCCCAAGAAGACACAAGGAACGGCGCGGGAGGAGAGCTTGTCCGCGGACGTATCGCGGACAAAGGCACGAGATCTCCAGACCCGGAACACAGACGCATCGCCAACCTCTCCCGTCCAATGCAGTGTCGGCGAGGTCTTCGGAACGGAGACACTGGGCCAGAGGTTGAGCTGATGCGCGGCGTACCGGACCGCAAACGGCCACAGAAAATGGGGGGCAGCCGCATGGACCAAGGAGGTACGAGCGACCTCCATGACCAAGCCAATGCGGCGCTCAGCAACCCCATTCTACTGAGGAGAGGTCGGAAGCGTGAACGTCTGCTCAATGCCCTCCCCCTGACAGAAGGCCTCCAAGAGGCCGGAGGAAAACTCACCACCTCTGTCAGAGTGCAGTCGCAGGACGGGAAGGTCCGTGTGAAAGCGCCTCTCCAGCTGGAGACGGGTAGTGCGGATCCAAGGGATCAAGACAGCAGGGACCTCTTCCTTGGTGCGCAAGGGGAAGACCGTGGTGTAACGCGTGTAGTCGTCAACTACCAGCAGGAAGTAGCACTCTCCGCCCTATCCACGGACGCGGGCTGGGCCCCACACGTCCATGTGAAGGGTCTGCAGAGGAGCCTCCATCGGGGGGAACTCAGGGGAGTGAGGGGTGGCACGCTGCCGCCCCTCGACACAGGGAAGGCAGGGAGGGGCAGGGGACGGTGGCAGGGGAGGCAGTGACCTGGGGAGACCAGAGACAAGGAAGCGAGAGTGCATGCCACGAAGGCGCTGCATCGAAGGGTGGCCAAGGCGGTGGTGCCAGAGGACCGTCCAGTGCGACAGGGTGCAACACGAGCAGGGGGCGGACAACTGACCTGACGCAGACGCAGACGCCGCTACCTAAGGGGACTCAGTGGTCAGTGTGTACAAGTCCGACCCCGGCTGCCGAGTGAAGGTAGCCAGGTGACGACCCGTCTGGGCACACGTGCAGTGTGTCACACGCTCGTAGGCAGGGGTGAACTGGTGAACACCCGCGTCCTGGAGCGCGGAACCCGCCACCAAGTTCGTAGAGAACGAG